TCACCCCCCAGGCCGCTCAGGGTCCCTCTGGCCGCGGCCACGGCTCCGAGGCTGCCCCAGAGGCACAGGGACACGAGCACCACGCGCGGCCTGGGGAACACCAAAATCCTCCTTTTCAACCCAAAATCCTCCTTTTCAACCCAAAATCCTCCTTTTCAACCCAAAATCCTCCTTTTTAACCCAAAATCCTCCTTTTCAACCCAAAATCCTCCTTTTCAACCCAAAATCCTCCTTTTCAACCCAAAATCCTCCTTTTCAACCCAAAATCCTCCTTTTCAACCCAAAATCCTCCTTTTCAACCCAAAATCCTCCTTTTCAACCCAAAATCCTCCTTTTCAACCCAAAATCCTCCTTTTCAACCCAAAATCCTCCTTTTCAACCCAAAATCCTCCTTTTCAACCCAAAATCCTCCTTTTCAACCCAAAATCCTCCTTTTCAACCCAAAATCCTCCTTTTCAACCCAAAATCCTCCTTTTCAACCCAAAATCCTCCTTTTCAACCCAAAATCCTCCTTTTCAACCCAAAATCCTCCTTTTCAACCCAAAATCCTCCTTTTCAACCCAAAATCCTCCTTTTCAACCCAAAATCCTCCTTTTCAACCCAAAATCCTCCTTTTCAACCCAAAATCCTCCTTTTCAACCCAAAATCCTCCTTTTCAACCCAAAATCCTCCTTTTCAACCCAAAATCCTCCTTTTCAACCCAAAATCCTCCTTTTCAACCCAAAATCCTCCTTTTCAACCCAAAATCCTCCTTTTCAACCCAAAATCCTCCTTTTCAACCCAAAATCCTCCTTTTCAACCCAAAATCCTCCTTTTCAACCCAAAATCCTCCTTTTCAACCCAAAATCCTCCTTTTCAACCCAAAATCCTCCTTTTCAACCCAAAATCCTCCTTTTCAACCCAAAATCCTCCTTTTCAACCCAAAATCCTCCTTTTCAACCCAAAATCCTCCTTTTCAACCCAAAATCCTCCTTTTCAACCCAAAATCCTCCTTTTCAACCCAAAATCCTCCTTTTCAACCCAAAATCCTCCTTTTCAACCCAAAATCCTCCTTTTCAACCCAAAATCCTCCTTTTCAACCCAAAATCCTCCTTTTCAACCCAAAATCCTCCTTTTCAACCCAAAATCCTCCTTTTCAACCCAAAATCCTCCTTTTCAACCCAAAATCCTCCTTTTCAACCCAAAATCCTCCTTTTCAACCCAAAATCCTCCTTTTCAACCCAAAATCCTCCTTTTCAACCCAAAATCCTCCTTTTCAACCCAAAATCCTCCTTTTCAACCCAAAATCCTCCTTTTCAACCCAAAATCCTCCTTTTCAACCCAAAATCCTCCTTTTCAACCCAAAATCCTCCTTTTCAACCCAAAATCCTCCTTTTCAACCCAAAATCCTCCTTTTCAACCCAAAATCCTCCTTTTCAACCCAAAATCCTCCTTTTCAACCCAAAATCCTCCTTTTCAACCCAAAATCCTCCTTTTCAACCCAAAATCCTCCTTTTCAACCCAAAATCCTCCTTTTCAACCCAAAATCCTCCTTTTCAACCCAAAATCCTCCTTTTCAACCCAAAATCCTCCTTTTCAACCCAAAATCCTCCTTTTCAACCCAAAATCCTCCTTTTCAACCCAAAATCCTCCTTTTCAACCCAAAATCCTCCTTTTCAACCCAAAATCCTCCTTTTCAACCCAAAATCCTCCTTTTCAACCCAAAATCCTCCTTTTCAACCCAAAATCCTCCTTTTCAACCCAAAATCCTCCTTTTCAACCCAAAATCCTCCTTTTCAACACCCCTTTAAGCCCCACCCCTTTCCACCCTTCCCATTTAAGCCCCACCCTTTAAACATCAGCCCTTTTAAGCCACGCCCATTAAGCCCAACCCCATTAAGCCACACCCCTTTAAACCCTCCCCCCTTTAATCCCCTCCAATTTAAGCCCCGCCTACTTAAGCCCCGCCCCCTTAAGCCCCACCCACCCCTGTCCCCACAGGGTCGCAGTCGTGCCGGCTCCGATTCTGCCGCTCTTCCCCCTAAAAAAACCCCGATATCCAATCAGAAGAAGGGGGCGTGGCCACCCAAAAGAGGGCATGGTTCTTTAAAAAGAGGGTGTGGTTTAAAAGTGGGCGTGGCCACTCACGGGGCGTGGCTCCAGCAGGTCGCGGGCGGCGCTGAGCATCACCACGTACGGGAGGTTGTTACACAGCCCCAAAATCCTGCGGGGGGCGGGGCTTAGAGGGGCGTGGCCGCGCGCGGTGGGCGTGGCCACGCAAGGGTGTGACACACCCTAAAGGGGTGTGGTTTATGGGGAGGGGGAGGAGTCAAAATGGGGGCGTTAATGGTGGGGGAAGGGTTTAAATGGGCGTGGTCGTGACTGGGTGTGGTCAAGGGGGCGGGGCTTAAGTGGTTCAGTTTTGGCGGGAAATTGAAGGGTTTTGAGTTTGGGGTGCGGCTTAAAGGGGCGTGGCCATCAAGGTGGGTGTGGCCATAGCTGGCTGTGTTCCAAATGGGCGGGGCTTAAATGAGTGGGTTTGTCCCAAAGTGGCTGAGTTTTGGCGGGAAATGGGGGAGGAGGCGTGGCTTGGGGCGTGGCCTCGAGTGGGGGCCGGGCCTCAAGGGCTGGGGGAGGGGCACTCACCAAAAAGCGGCTCCGATTCGCCAGGAGGAGGTCGG